TTTTGTTGAGTTTTATTTATTTTTAGGTATTTTAAAAGCAATAGATTTTATTTTAATAAATAATTGGTTAACTAAAATAATAATTATTACTAAAAATTTAATCTTTTTAAATTATAATATCTTTTAATTAAAATTAAGAAATTATATTATTTTAATCAAAAAAAACTTCTAAAACTAATTTTTTATCATTTCCAAAAAAAAAATCTCATTTTCATTAATTTAAATTCCTTATATTTCATTTTTTATTATAAAACTGCTTTTTATTTCTTAGAATGATTCTTTTTCTTAATCAAAGAAACATACTAAATTCTCATTTTCCACCATAACCAGAAACTAATCTTAAAAAATGCACACACATTTTATTTCTTTTACATTTTTTAATATTTTAATGCTCTTATATATACCATTTTAAACATTAAATGTCTCTATTTCTGTACAATCTGTATTTTTAACAATATATAAAACATCGTTTAAAAAACAACAATAAAAGCCTCTATTATTATTCATTATTGAACATGAATTAATATTAACATTATTATTATTAATTTTTTAAAGTTATTTTTTTCCAAATCAATATTATATACATTTCCATTTCCTATAATAAATAATTTTCCGTTTTTATTTTGGATAATCTGATACGGATTTTCTAAAACCTAAATTTCTATTAAAAACTCTATTTTTTAGAAAATTTTCGGATTTTTCAATTAAAAAGAATATAGAAAATTTTCAAAAAATAAAGGTATAAATTAAAAATTAAAATTAATATCAGAAAAATAATTTTTCTATTTAATTTCTATATTATTATTTATAGTATTTTCATAAGAAAAATTAAATTTATCTGATGTATTTTAATCTAATTCTTAATTTATTGACACCTCATTTTGATTTATATATATTTATCCCAAATTTATGTATTTTAAAAGCTCATTTTAGATAAAATTAATCCTTCTTTCTTCTATTAAAACCTCGATTCTATAAAGATCATTTTTCTAATCTAGTTTATTAATATTTTAATTCAAAAAACAAAATTACTTATTAAAATCTAATATTTATGTCTTTTTAAAATTAAATAATAAATAAATATGAATATATACTTCTTATAAGGCAATATTAGAGTTGTTTTCGTCAAAATTTTACAAAATAGAGTCTATTTATATATTAAATTATTAAATTTTTTCTTAAATATTTATTATTTCTATATCTTTTGATGAAAATTGTTTTAATCGTTAAATATATTTTTCTGATATTTAATCGAAATAATTGTTTATTAAGTTTATTAAATTTTATCGACAAATTTTTATTTTCTGAATATTTTCATCTGCATAATTTTGTTAAAAATATTCTCTTTTATTCTCTAATAATCGAGAAAACTAGCTCAATTAACTTTTATAATCTTTTAGTTTTTAAAAACATTTATTTCTTACACTTTTTATAGATTAAATATCACATTAAGTACCTTATTAGAGGTGAAATTTTACATGCTTTTCAATACAATCTGGACAAAGTGCCTTTAAACATTAAACTTCGGTACAAAAATTTGTTTGAATTTCATCTTAATGTTCATCGCATATCATATTTAAAATTTAAATGTGATTATTTTTTATTTTTTTTTAATAAAATAATTATTTTTTTAATTTTAAAAATTATATCGATAAATAAAAAAACATTAATAAACAAAGTTTAATAAATTTTCACATTTATTTAATACTACTGTTTTTATAAAATGAAAAAAAAAAAAACTTGTATTTTTATTTATCCATCAAAATTAATTTTAATAATATTATTAATTTTTACATTCGGGCATAGCTATATAATTTGTTTTTATAGGATTTGCAATATATTTACTTATACATGTCCCATTAATAAATTTATCGTTAACTTATTAATTAAATTGGTTAAAATTTTTTTACATATAAGTATCTTATTAAATATTATATCTTTTAAGTATTTTTAAAATAGCAAAAATAACAATTAAAGTTAATAAAATCGCAAAAATACATAAGAAAATTATAAGAGAATTTCCATGTTTGCCTACTTCAGATAAATCCATATTATTTTTTTAATAAATACTGATAGAATTTTATTTTTAATCAAAAATTATAAAATAAACTTTCATAAATGCAGTTCCAAAATAAAAAGAACTTAATTCTTATGGATGTCTTTTTTTTATTTTTTAAATTTAAATAAATATAATATTTAAATAGATATGAAAATAGTAATAAACTATGTAAATTTAAAAAGCAATTCATAATTATCTTCATTTTCTTAAATATAATCTGTTGGCTTTAAAGAAATTTTAATTATTTCTTATTTTTTATTCACAAAAGTAAACTCAATATCATGAAAATCTTCAAATTAAAAATTTTCTTTTTTACAAAAATAGCCTTAATTTTGAATTTTATATGTATTAAAGTATTTTTCAAATACATTCATAAAATAATAATGAGGAACCTATTTTTTTTTTAAACAAAAAATAATTATAATAAATATATATTAAAAATATATGCAATAATTTATACTTAATCAGCAATTTAAGGAATATAAATATATTTTGAAGTCGTATCAAAAAAATATTAGGTTAAATATTATTTAAGAAAGATTTATTTTTAATATTCACATCATTCAATAATAAACCCCATTTATCATCAAATATATTTTAAAAAACAGCTTCTTAATTATTTTTTTATATATATAATTATTTAGGTTATTCTCCTATTATAAGATTAGCAAAATCATCTTAAAAATAAAACGAAAATTACTGTTTTTCCAATTAATTACTAGCCTATAATATTTTATATATAAAAGATTCTTTTTTAATATTTTTATTTAGGCTAATCCCAACATGAGCAATTTCTTTTTAAGTTTAAATGAATTACTCTTTATTAATAGTAGCATAATTATTAGGAAAATAACTTTTCAAAGAAATAGTATGCCCGTTAACTTCATAATCATTTTTTTAAAAAAAACCTTTTTCAAATAAAATCTTATTTCCTAAACATTATTAAGTTGGATTTGCTTCTTTTCCTTGCTTTTAAAATTCTATCCCATCTGGATTTACTAAATTATATTAATATTTTATATTATTTGAAAGTATATAATTATATTAAGAAACAGTATCGAATATACATGCTTCTTAAATTTCATCATTAAGTATTATTTCAGTATAAAATATTTCATCTATTAAATATTATATATCATTTATTTATTAATAAATATTCGCTTTTTATAAAGGAATTTCTATGTATGAAAAAATGCTTATATTTAAAAGAAGTAAAAATATAATTATTTTTTGATTCATGTTTTTTGTTAATTTGATTTGTTTTTTTCTGTTATAATTATTTAAATTTAAATAATATTTGAAAATATATTTATTTATTGTTTTTTTCTATGTAAAAATAATTAAACTAAGTTATTTTATTGCAATCTATTTTATAATTTATTTAGAATTTCAAAAAATTACTTATATTTTAAGAATTCAATCTATAAAATAATTGTTTTTAAAATTAAAAAAAAAAATTATTCTTAAAAATTTAAAAAATAAAGCAAATATAAATAAAAAAAAAATATTACTTAATTTTAAATTTATTTCAAAAGATATTTAAAAATTAGTTTATTAAATGATTATCATCTTAATCTTTAAGTTTATTATGATTATTAATGAATATGAAATAAAAAAATTTACATTTTTTTATAATAAAAATTATTTATTTATTGTTTTATATTTCAATTTTTCAAAAAAAAAAATTATACAATCTAATAATTATAAACAACAATATTTTATATTTTAATATAATTATTTTATTTAAATAAAAAAATACATAAAAAAATATAAATAAAGTATATAAACACAAATAATAATGAGCTTATCTTCTAACTCTCATGTTGATTCTCCAAGTAAAATAGAAAACCAAAAAAAAATATAAATTTATATATTATATTTAAAAATAATAAAAGAAAAATTAAACACAAAGCATTATGAGGGTAAAAAGTCTTTAAAAGGCAATAAAAAGAAAAAATGTGAAAACGAATTTTGTTTTGCTAACCAAAATAATAGATAGAATAAAAAAACAACCAAAAACCTTCTCTAAGACCGTTAATTAAGGAATTAACTCCACACTAACGAAAAGCTCCAATTTTGTGATTCTTGTTAATAAAGATTTGATTAAAGACAGTACTGCTATTATTGCTAATAAATATATGTAAATACAACCGAGGATAATGGACATAATTGGAATGGAGACGGGTAGGAATGGGTTTAATGCGATGTTTGTGATTTTTGGTAACATATATAATGTGAGTAAATGCATGGTATGAAAAATGTAATGGAAATAATAAATTAATAATAGTAATACTTTTGTCCTTGGTGTAGAAACAAAGAATAGAATGGAGCAAATAAGCAAACTCAAAAAAAAAAATTAAAACTTTAGTAATAAAATAGGAGAATAATAAAAGAAACCTCATTAATTTATAAATATAAGATGATAATAATTGTTATTCTTTTAAAAATATAGTGAAAAAAAGAATTAATTAAAATAATATTCATAATAATCGTTTGTAAGAGAATTTTTATTTACCTTCAATATCTCCGATTACAACTTAATTTGAGAATTTCTTACATAATAATTTTAGTAAATATAAATATTTTTTTTTAAATTATTTCTCTTTATTTTTTGTTTTATATTATTCACTAATGTTATGTTTTTTCTTAATTTTATAAAATATATTAATGTTGATAAAAATATAAATATAATTTTTAATTTTTTTTATTAACATTCTATAAATATTTATTTAATTTTTAAAAAATAAGGCATGAGCTTGACATTAGATTATTTAACAATATAAGACGATTTAAATAAAATGAAATAATAAATTTAAAATTAGCAAAATCAAAAAAATTTATGAAATAATCATTAAAGATAATCAATAATAAAATATATATATTTAATAAATTATTAATATTTTTGATAATATTAAATATTAAATTATTTTTATGTTTTATCTGTATTTTTAATTTTAATATTCATAAGTTTATATTTATGCATTTTCTTAATTATGGATTTTTATATTAATTTTTGAAAAAAATAAAAAAATATTTTTAAAAAGTTTTATTTGTTTTCCTTATGTAACACTCTTAATTTCTTTAAGGAAATATGAGCTGACTTAAGGAAGTTTTATCTTGCACTTATCAAATATAAATATTTGATAAATTAGTCCCATTAACGCGTTATTACAAAACGTAATTTTTAAATGAAATGGAACATTTTAAAGTGCGAATATATTTTTATAATATTAAAAGATTATTATAAAAAAATAAATAAAAATAAAATTATTTAAATTTAATTTTTATGGTTTTATTTTTATTGTATATTGTTGTTTATGAATTTAATAGAAATAATATAATATTTTTTAATTTATTTAATATCTAATTAATTAAACTTAAATTTATTAAAATAAAATTTAACTTTTGTAATTTTTTTATTTATAAACTAGATTCTCTTTATTTTAAAAATTAATTTATATATATATATATATATTTTAAAAATAATTTTATTATTTTTCCATTTCTTTATTTATTTAACAAAATAATACATAAAATTTTATTTAATATTTAATATATTTTTCTATAATAATAGTATTAATTTATTTTTCAAATTAAAAGGTACAAAATCTAAAATATATAAAAAATAAAAACACAATAATATATATATATATATATATATATATATATATATATATTATATATATTATATTATANA